TTCACTGACGCCCAGAAGGAGGAGTACTTCAGGAAGAGATTCAGTAATGAAGACCTGCCTAAAAAAATCATCTCTCACTTGAAGACATCCAGGAGCCTCCACATCATGTGTAGTATCCCAGTCTTTTGCTGGATCACTGCTACAGTTCTGGAGCACATGTTGACTACAGAGCAGAGAGGAGAGCTGCCCAAGACCCTGACTGACATGTACTCACACTTCCTGCTGGTTCAGAATAAGAGGAAGAAGAACAAGTACCATGAGGGACATGAGACGAGTCCACAGGAGCTGACGGAGGCTGACAGGGAAGTTCTTCTGAAGCTGGGGAGGCTGGCGTTTGAACATCTGGAGAAAGGAAACATCATGTTCTACCAAGAAGACCTGGAGCAGTGTGGTCTGGATGTCACAGAGGCCTTGGTGTACTCAGGAGTTTGTACAGAGATCTTCAAAAGAGAGTGTGTAATCTTCCAGAAACCAGTCTACTGCTTTGTTCATCTGAGCATCCAGGAGTTTCTGGCTGCAGTCTACATGTTCCACTGTTTCACCAACAGGAAGACAGAGGTGTTGGAGGACTTCCTGGGACAAAAGTACAGTGGGTCAGCTCTGGATGCTTTCCTTAAACAAGCCATGGAAAAGTCCCTCCAGAGTAAAAATGGCCACCTGGACCTGTTTGTCCGCTTCCTTCATGGCCTCTCTCTGGAGTCCAACCAGAGACTCTTAGAAGGTTTGCTGGGTCAGACAGAGAACAGTCCAGAAACCATTCAGAGAGTCATCAACAACCTGAAGAAGATGAACAGTGATAAAATCTCTCCTGACAGAAGCATCAACATCTTCCACTGTCTGATGGAGATGAACGACCTCTCAGTACATCAGGAGATCCAAAAGTTCCTGAAATCAGAGAACAGATCAGAGAGACTCTCTGAGATCCACTGCTCAGCTCTGGCCCACATATTGCAGATGTCAGAGGAGGTTCTGGATGAGTTGGACCTAAAGAAGTACAACACATCATTGGAGGGACGACGCAGACTTATTCCGGTTGTGAGGAACTGCAGAAAAGCTCGGTGAGTCCAGATCTGATCATTAGCATTATTGATCTGTGCTAATTAGTAGTTTAGTTAGTCTCGGGTTTCATGTTTCACCTCTCAGAGGGGAAGTCCAGATGCTTTTCTATCCAAGCTCCTTAGACAACTACAGATGAACTATGAAGTGAGCATTGAAAACTGAATTTCTCCGTAAATGTTCTGCAAAGTCAAAATTTATTGATACTTCAGTCTTTAATAATTTAATTTCAGGGCTTCTTTAGTACCAGGTTTTAGTACTCAATTCTACTCAGAAAAATAATTAGAAGTTTGCATCTCCAGCCTCTACCAAACCAAAAAAATAATAATTACTGCTAGAGTTGCAGTGCTGAAAACAAACATATTCCAAGCCCGAGATGTGGATCTTTTACACGCCCTCTCCTTTAGAATCTTTGATCATCATCCACAAAGAGAACAAATGAGGGCCATAACGATCAATAGCACTGGCTAAAAGTTGATAAAAAAGTTGGAACAATAACACCTGTCCATTGTTGGCCTGTAGCCCATGGCCAGGTCTGACTGGATTCAGTCTTGATCTTCCAGCAGCTACAGGTCCCAGTAAATCCCCCCAGTACTCTATCTGTAGGCTGATCAGCTCCAAGTCCCCAACATTTCACCAATGCCAGGTTATGACTGTTATCATTGGCAGGCCAATCATTTGAAATAGTAAACCACCTATAACCCATTGTTTCCAGGTGGCTAATTTTTGAGGCATAGATGATAAAGTTAAATTTAAAAGGTATAAATCTCCTGATCCATCCACCTGTTCCAAATATGCACTCACTCCTCGTTTCAATTAGATGAACACTTTTGGTGTTACAGCAGCACAGCTGACTATGTGGTTTGCATCCATGAAACACTTGTTAGATTTTCTCTGCCAATGCCAAACAGCTTGCTCTGGTATTTACTTTTTCCGCTGTCATTTCCTGGATTGAATGTTTGAAGAAACAATTGGCCCATTTCGGGGAAATTTAAAGCTCATTAGCATGCAGAAGAACCAAACACAGGCACAACAGCCTGGCTCCACCTTATCCTGGTCACCAATTTGGTCACACACTAGTGTGGCATAGCATTTGTTACAAGTTAGCCAATGTGGTTGTATTGGTTACTGGCATGGACAGCACAACCAAGCTGATTCCACATGTGTGCAATGAGGTTAAGGTTAGGACTGCGGACAGGACTTCCTCTCCACTCCCAAACGTAGTCGCTGATAAACCCCACTCTGTGCGTGCAAGTGTTGTCATCTGGAGGATAAGTCCAGGCCCAGACTGTGGAGATATGGGATTGCCACTGGTTACAGTATCTCAGTATCTCTCTGCATTGAGATTTCCTCCAATAATGCAAAGCCTTATTTTTCCAGTGAGTAAGATTCTGCCCCACACTATCACACTGCTTCCACCGAAAGCTGTTACCCGATTGGTGCAGTAGTCAGCATAGTTTCTCCTTAACCAAATCATTTAAATATGGTATACTTGGAGCAGACATCAACTGACCACCGTAGCAGGGTTCATGCTCACAGGCACCGATCAAGAACCTGATTAGCAGCACCTGGGCTACTAGAAGCTCAAAAGAAGAGTCAATAACAGAATAAGCTGTTTGGCACTGGCATAGAAGATTTGGCAAGATTTTTTTCATGGTTGCAACCGACATACTCAAATCTGCTGCTCTACCCACAAATGGATTGTCCTTCATTTCCTAAGAAATGGGCCACATTTAGGGAAAGATAGTCAGGATTTTCATGGTATAAGATCTATTGCCAAGAAGCAGTTATAGCAAAGGAATATTCTACCAACACAAATTTCCTTTTCTTTTGTGCTAAGTTTATATCCCATATGTTACTTTTTCTTTAGTCGGACATTTGTAATAAAGTGCTATTTTGTATTTTATCAGAATTTTAGAGCTCAGTCGTCAAATTGTTCACACACCATCACAGATGAGATGTTTGCATATTATGATGTTACCCTCTTTTACCTTCATATACATTCAGTCTGTGTTTATAATGGAGAGTTTCTGCTTTTATACTAACATAGTCAAAGGAGCTTGCAAAGAAAAGCGTCTGGACTTCTTTAAGTTGCTTGAAGACGTTTCACCTCTCATCCGAGAAGCTTCTTCAGTTCTAAGGT